CCCCCCCCCCCGCCCCTGAACTGCCCACTAACGCCGCAAGAAATAGTCCCTCGTCCACCGCAAATTCCACGACCCCTCGGCCATCCAAATGTGCACGCTCATGAACATCAAAACCGGCGGGTGCAGCGAAGACTGCAGCTACTGCGCGCAGTCGACGCGGCACAACACGGGGCTGAAAGCGACGAAGATGTCGCCGGTGGACGAGGTGCTGGCGGCGGCGCGGACGGCCAAAGCCAACGGGTCGACGCGGTTCTGCATGGGGGCGGCGTGGCGCGACATGCGGGGCCGCAAGACCTCGCTGAAGAACATCAAGTCGATGGTCAGCGGCGTGCGCGAGATGGGGATGGAGGTGTGCGTGACGCTGGGGATGATCGACGAGGCGCAGGCCAAGGAGCTCAAGGACGCCGGCCTGACCGCCTACAACCACAACCTCGACACCTCGCGCGAGTTCTACCCGTCCATCATCACGACGCGCTCGTACGACGAGCGGCTGCGCACGCTGGCCAACGTGCGCGACGCCGGCATCAACGTCTGCAGCGGCGGCATCCTGGGGCTGGGCGAGAAGGACGAGGACCGCGTCGGCCTGATCTTCACCGTGGCCAATCTGCCCAAGCACCCCGAGAGCTTCCCGGTCAATGCCCTCGTGCCCATCCCGGGGACCCCCCTGGGCGATCGCAAGATGATCCCCTTCGATCGCCTGCTGCGCACGGTCGCGACCGCCAGAGTCGTGCTGCCCGCCACCATTGTGCGGCTGGCCGCCGGCCGCATCTCGTTGTCGGAGGAGCAGCAGGTCGCCTGTTTCCAGGCCGGCGCCAATGCCGTGTTTACGGGCGAGAAGATGTTGACTACCGATTGCAATGGGTGGGATGAGGATCGCGAGATGATGGATCGCTGGGGGTATTATCCTATGAAGAGCTTTGAGAGGGAGGGGTTGGAGGCTGAGGTGGCCGGCAAGAAGGAGGAGGCCCAGCAGGCGGCTGTCTTGGAGGAGAAGGTGAGGGAGGTGTCTGCGCAGGTCGCGACCAGTTTGTGATTTGGGTTTGCTAGTGCTTAGATTTCGAGAAATGGCATTTATGATTCGTATCCTCTGCATTGTGGTGGTTGGGTTAGTCTGGATTGGATGTTGTGTTCGGATACTTGGCTTGGCTCCTTCGCTGTAATCGGGTTGATCTTGTGGTGTTAGAGACAGCATTGGTGCTAGAGACAGCATTGGTGCTAGAGACAGCGTGAATCCATCATGTAACCCCCCAAATTGCAAGACATTATCTCCACCGGACATCAAACTACTCCCTCTCCGTCTCGAAATCCTTCTGCACCCGCGCCGCAAACTCATCGTCCACCAGCACCTGACACGCCACCACCGCCATCCCCGCCGCGCACGCCATCCCCCGCTGATACGCCTCGAGCGAGCCCGCGCCCTGGGTGAACCCGGGCGTGTGGTTGACCCCGTCGGTGGGGATAGTGAAGATGCCATGGAAGCCGGGCACGGCGTACGACACATTGCCTGGTCCGATTAGCACACTCCCAAGCAACGAAGACCAACGGGGGATGAAATACGTACCCTGGTCCGTCGACGCCCCGGTAATCGCACTCTTCTGCCCCGTATTATCGAACAAGGTGAGATGGCCCATCGCCCGCATGACGGCGACGTAGCTCTCGCAGATGGGGTTATTCGTTTTGAGATCCGCATACGACGGACCCCTACCACTCAAACATCAGCATCAGCATACCCCTGACCTCAACTTACTCTGAGAAACAGAAGAACGTACCACTCAAACGCGACCTCGCACCCCGTGGCCACCGCCGCCGCCTCAAAGCACTTGACCACCCGCTCCGACAGCCCCTTTAGCGACTTCACCGTCGGCGACCGGATGTAGTAATCCACGGCCGCGCTGCGCGGGATGACATTCGGCCGCTCCCCGCCGTCGACAATCACCCCGTGCACGCGCTGCGTGGGCAGGATCTGCTGCCGCAGCAGCGAGACATTCACGTACGCCGCGACCACCGCGTCCAGCGCGTTGACCCCCTCCCACGGCGCCGCCGCCGCGTGCGCCGGCCGCCCCGTGAACGTCACCCGCAGCTTGTCGTTGGCCAGGTACCCGCCCGGCAGCACGGTGGCCAGCGTCAGCAGCCGCGGGTTCTGCGGCGCCATCGGCACCGGGTGCACCATCAGGCACGCGTGCACCCCCGTGTACGCGCCCCGCTCCAGGAGCTGGATCTTGCCGCCCCCGGATTCCTCGGCCGGCGTGCCGAGCAGTTTCACCGTGAAGTTGGCGGCAGCGGCGGTGGATGATGATGAGGTGCTGGTGGCTTCAGACCGCATGGTGTGGCAGGTGGCTAGGAAGGCGGCAATGGAGCTCGTCGCGATCAGGTTGTGGCCGCACGCGTGGCCGATGCCGGGTAGGGCGTCGTATTCGGCGTTGAAGGCGACGACGCGCCCGCACGACGGGTCGCCGTGCGTGTAGGTGACCTCGAAGGCGGTGGGGATGTCGTAGGCGGAGCGCTGGATGGTGAAGGTCAAGTCTGTGGTGGTGGTGAGCGTGTCGAAGAGGGTGCAGATGGCGTCGTGGGCTTGGTGTTCCTCGAACGCTAGTTCGGGGTTGGACCAGATCTGGTGAGTTGGTTAGCTCGAGTGGTTGATGGGGGCTCATGTCTGTGATGAATCCCTGTGAGACCTTTAGCTACATAGGTGATTAGGATGGCTACCTTCTGGTTGATGTTCTGTAGTTGGGTGTCATAGTTGCGCAGGGCTTCCTGGACGCTTGCGATGAAGCGTTCTTGGGCGGTTTGAACAGTCATCTTGGGTGCTTTGACAGTTGAATTCTGTCTCTTCGTGAGGATTAGACATGATGGGCGCTATTTTATATCTGTGCGACTCAGACCGTCAGAATCTCCCCCTCTGGTGATGCGGAGATGCGGAGATGCTCGCCGCAGTTCATGCCCGGCTTATCAGGCATTCCATTCCACCCGCTTATCGATCGGCTGCATTGCCGAAGCGGAGTGTGCTTTGCTTTCAAGTTTAATTGGTTGAATACCACTAACAGTCACCTGACCACTGCCGACCCAGCCAATCGCGTTGTCTGCCTCGGCACTTTGCGCGGCCCGGCTGTTTCTCCGGACTGGCTCCCTTCTGGACAATATCGCGACGAGAGATCATCGGCACTCTTCCCCTCACCTTGCAGTCTCCCCATCGCTTAGCATTGGCTTATCTGCGTGGTAGCATCGCTTACAGCCTTTCAGTCATCACATTAATCGAATATACATGACCCTGACAGACCCCCACTCGACACGACCCCTCCGCCAGAAAATGACCCAGTGGAGCGCTGCCGAACTCCAGCAGCACTATCGGGATGCATAAGCTCGGCAAGAAGACTCGCTCCAGGACCGGTGAGGATCCACTCGGATACCCTGTCAGGAGTGATCCTGGAATGATTCACCGATCGACTGACGTTACGCAGGCTGTCGCACGTGTCGAATCCGCAAGGTCAAGTGCGACGAGGAGAAATTGGCCGTCCCCGGCCAGCCTGAACCGCAATGCCGGCGTTGCACCGCCGCCCGCATCCTGTGCGAGTGGAAGGGCGGCCCAATCCCCCGGCCTTCTGCCAGGAGAAATGTTTCCGCCTCCACGACCAAGGAAGTAGTACAGAAGACGGAGGGGAATGCGGGTAGCCCGGCCCATAGTACGACCGCACGAAAGAGCCCCCCTACGACAACAACAACGACGACGACGACGACGCCGGCCCCTCAATCCCCAAGGATTCTCACCCTGTCGTCGCCTGGAGGCAAAAGTAGGACCGTGCAAGCGGCCAACTCGCTTGTGCTGACCGGCTTCGACCGCTCGTGCATCGCCTACCTCCAAGACTCCGCGCTGGTCGTGCTTCTTGGCAAACACTGGCCGTGGTCCGCCATGTCGTACGCCTACCACAAGATCGCGGTCCGGGAGCCCATGGTAATGAGTATGTTGTTAGCGAGTACGGCGAGCGAGATCCGTCGCGCCCAGCTCTACGACAGTGAACAGCCACGGGACGCGGTCGAGACGGTGGCAGATCTGGGGGGTCGCATGCATTACGGACGGGCGCTGGCCGGTCTGCGGGAGGCACTGCGGCCGGAGGTTGAGAAGTCGTCGGAGCAGCTGGAGGCCATCTTCATCACTTTGTGGCTGATGATCGACTACGAGAACCGCTTCGGGAGCGGCACCGCGGCCATCAATGTGCACATCCGGGGAATTGAGAGTTTGCTCTTCAACCATGTCGTTCCGCTATTGAAGCCTGCCTCATCCGTATCAGCGCTTGGCGCAGAGGGGGGAAGGGCAGGTGCCGGCGCCTTGCCCTGGGGGAATCCGACGAACGCCGCTGTAGATAGCACCGAGAGGACAACCATGTTGCCGACGAGTAGTTTGCCTGGGCTCGCGACCAGCAAACTCCGTCACACAGCGGTACCACTCTTCCTACTGTGGACGTTGTACTTCTTCACTCCCGGGGCCCTCTTCTGCGGGCCTGCGGCCGCCCGACTCGACGCCGATCTCTTCCGGTTCTTCATCCAGGACGAAGCCGAACAAAGAGGCCTGAGTCTGGCGGAGCTCTACCGCATCGGCCGCCAATCGCCCCGCCGCTTCTGGGGCGACTCGTACCCGACGGCGGCGCAGCTGGACGACATCGAGAACCAGCCCGCGTTGATCCTCTACCACCGAAGTCATGTCATGCAGTTCAAGATCACCGAACTCTGGCGCCAAGGCCAGCAGACTTCGGAGGTATCGTATCGTCGTCTCGTCGACGAACTCGCCTTGGTCCTGGAGGTATGTTTGCCATTTCGTAGACTTCCCTTCCCTATCACCTCAGACGTGCTAACCCCCAACAAGCAAAACGACAGCATCCTCACCACCGCCCTAACCGCCCCAACCTGCGACTTTGCCAGCCGACGCGTCCTGGAAACCATCTTCTGGGCGACCATCACCTTCTACGGCACGATCGTGTACTTCCATCTCTGCTTCAAAGACACCGTCCCGCCGACGTCGACCACCACCACCACCCAACAACATACCGCACAGCTACCTCCGCTGGAAACCGCCGTCAACCAGGTATTATCTCTCTCGCTCAAACTCCACCGCAGTCGACCCCACCTGATGGTGCGGATCATCTGGCCGCTGTTCATCGCGGGGATCGCGACCCCGGACCGCATCTACCAGGATTGGGTATCGATTCGGCTGCAGGAGCTGGGCCGGTACGGGCTGAACTACAGTCGCGTGAGTCGGCGTTTCGACGAGATTGTGATCCAGGGATGTGACCCGTTCGTTTCAATTTCTGCTTCTTCCGCCGATGTCGATACTCCTGCGGAGGAGGTGCTGGATGCGGAGGATCTGGGGCCGGTGCCAGGGCCGGAGCTGGGCCTACCGATGCGGATTGGTTGAGTACTACGATTGTATGAAGGAAGTCACTCGCATTGATGGCCCCCCTAAGGTCGATTAAGAAATAGACACGGGGCTTGAGGCAGGCATGCGACATGCGGTGGCTTCAGGGAATGATTCTAGAAGCTAGTATTTTTCTTGGGTTTGCTGTGTTTTTGCTTGGCGATGATGCATGATCGGGATCATGATGCATATTTCGCTTGTTTACTTTTACTAATAGAAACCAGAGATCCCGTTGCTGGGTTGTGGTTCATTACCAAGGATGATGCGTGCGGGGCACGCTGAAGAGAGGCGAGGCTGTACGCCCAGCAATTACACTGAACCTTACACAGGGGGGGGCGGTACAACACACGTTACTTCATAGCAGGAATCGCTAACGCAAACGCAAACGCCAACCCCCAAGACCAAGACCAAGACCAAAACCACCATGTTCCAGACAACGCGCCAGCCAACCACACCCCAAGACGCCAGGAGACACCCTTACCCACCCTAACCGTGATACCAACCGATAACTAGAACATCTGCACGCATTCTTGGCGACAGACTCGGCGGCACCAAAATAGCACAGAAAAAAAAAGAAAGACGGATAATCGGCAAGCAAGCGCATCATACCACCACACGCACAGCAAAGCCAGTCACCATGATTCAACTGGAACTATGCTTCAACGACGCCTGACAGATCGGACACCGATACCGATGCTGCTCGACCCACAGAACCAAGCACGCGGCATGGAAGACGTGGTTACAGCGATTCAGCACCACCACCTCATCCTGTTGTGGATGCGGTTGCGGTGGCTGTTTTTCGGTCGGTGCATGCTGCTGCTGCTGCTGCTGCTGCTCCGCGTCTAGCTCCGTGGAGCAAGAAGACGAGGAAAGCGATAGCGGCACCGACCCGCGGCGCCAATCGCCCAATCCGGATTCCAATCCTAATCCCCGTTCGAGATCGGAGTCTACTGCGTTGGTCGGTGCCAGCACTCCACTGCCGCTGTGGTAGCCTCGCTGGGGAATCCATGCGGGTTTCGGTTGTGTTGGCGGGAGGTTGTTGGTGGTGGTGGTAGGAAACTTCTCGTTTTCGTCTACTTTCAGACGCTCGAGACAGATGGCACTAGCAGGGCATAAGATTAGCATAATAGCATAACTTTTGCGCAATACCGAGAACGGGGTGGCAAATTGCGATAATCCACGGAGATAGGCGATGCGATGGGTCCTGATACTCCAGAAATGAGAACGATAAGGAAGGGAGGGAGGGAGGGAAACCCCCGCCAAGGAATCCCCGCCAAGAATCTCCGCCAAGAAGGGACTCTTGGCTTGCCTCTCTCACTGAATCAATCCTCCGAATACGCGGGATGGGGGTGGGGGGTGGGGAGATACCCGATGACATAAGCCGCAACCCAGAAGCGAAAAGCATACGAAATCACGAAATCAGACAGGGAAAAGCGAGTCGGGAGCCAGCCAAGCCAGCCAAGAAAAACAACCCAGAACAACCAAACTTTGAAGTTTCTGGACCCCCGCCGAATGCGGAAACCCCAATGAGACAGAAGGGAACAACGTACCAGGATTCCTGGGCATAATGCCAGGTCTCGTTGGTGCCCGAATGGGTTTGTTCTTCGAGCCAGCGCTCCACGCTGATCGGGAGCTGTTGCATCGAGGGACTGCCAGTCAGCGCTTGGAGGGCGCTGTCCCGCCGGAGGGGGTCGGCGGCGGTCGCGGTGGAGGATGTGCCGCCGGCCGCGGCGGCGGTGGCGGCGCGACGTCGGCGATGGTGCCATGTTATAGCTCTTGCGTTGTTGCCATATTGTTAGTGATGGTGCTGTTGATGCTGTTGAGACTGGTGAAGAGTGTTTGGTTGTGTTTGGGGGGTATGTAGGATCTGGTGAGGTCACTGCTGCTCGGTGACCCTCCCCTCCCCTCCCCTCCCCTCC